TAGAACTTAAGACTTATGTGTCTAAGTCTTTTATCGTCTGAAAATTCAAATAACAATTATTTATTCTATAAATTATGTCAAACAGATGCCAAATTTTAACTCCTTTGAGATGAATTTTCCTATGTGATTCTCAAATAAGGCATGATATATAAATATGGATGTTTAATTTGTTGAGTGCTCATATTCCATAGTGAAGCTAGGCATGTTTAAACTTACTAGTTCTTATTGTATTTGCTTAAAAAACTCTCTTGATTTAGATTGAACTTGGCCAACATATTACCTACAAATATATTCCTATGTCATTTGGGTGTATATTCTATATTCTTATTAGTTTTGTTTTTAGGATATTTGACTGCAATATCCACTTCTTTTGTGACATATTTTCTCTATCACTTTATTTGTATGAAAGCAAGCCTTTCTAAACTGACATACAAATATATAATCACACAGTAATACACAATAGTATGAAATTATGAATGATTTATTAAATCTACACTTCAATGGAATTGTTCAATGATTTTCAGTTTTCTAATCACTTTTCTAATTTTGTATTCTAGGATTCTTATTATACTGCAGCTTTGTATTTGTCCAATAGCTTTCTTTCCATTTAGAAACTTTGATTATTTTTATCATCTATGTTACCGTGCAGTGGACATATACCATCTATTTTTCGGCATGAATGTATGGGGATGGTTTGCATTTGGATAAAAAGTAAGTAGCAAAATCTTATGAAGCTTTTTGATGATATATGATTAAGTTATACTTAGAAGCTTTTTGTGGCAGTTTTCGAGATCAACGAGTGAATAAAGACAAAGAAAGAAAAACTAAAGGATTGTGCGTTGAAATCCATTAGTGGAAGAAGAATGTGAAGAACCTAAATCAAATGATGTAATACATGTAATATGTTGAGTTAACAGGCTGAATTATATACTTATTGTGACATTATTATATGTTGGTTTTTTTTCATATTGTTGTACCATGTGTATTACTTTTTGTTGCGTCATGTTTCTTTTTTGTTACAATATGTTGCTTTTTGTTGCATTATGTTGCTTATTGTTTTCTTGTGTTATTAATCTCGTTTTTCATTTATTTAGATTTTTGTTGTTTATTTAGGTTTCTATTACCTTGACTTCCCTAAATCAAAATGTCTATGTAAATTTATAAGCAAACACCTAAAATGATACATTTAGATTTCATAAGCAAAAGTAATCAACAACTTGAAACATAAATAAACAATAAAAAACAAAAATTTCATAATTATAAACAAAAAGAAACACACGGAAACAATAGGCAACAAAACAAATAATAAAATAATAATAATTAAATAGTTCAATCTGTTTAAGAAATATTACACAATAAAATTTTTATTTTTTATTTTTCAATTTTTTAATATTTTTCCATGTTCATTATTTTAAATTTTCATATTTTTATTCCGTGAGTTTATTTTAATTTTAAAGTCTCTTAAGTCACATTAATTTTATGATTTTTGAAAATTTTATGTAATATATTTTTATTTTTTCCCATTGTAATATAAAATTTAATTTAACTTTTTGAATGATTTCAAATTTTATATTTTCCAATTGTTTAAAAAAATTACTTTTTCAGAAAAGATTCTGATTATTTTTCATATTTTTTTCATATTTCTAAAGTTAACTTTTGTTTGATATTTTTAAAAAACAAATTGTAAGATTTTAGATTAAAAACAATTTGCACGTTTTTTCGATTTTGAGATTTGTTTTCCCTAACATTTATGTATTTTCCTTTTCCGTTTTAATTTTTACTAAAGATTTTATAAAATTTTGAATTTGATAATGATATACATAAATTACGGCGTGTATAAACTCTTTTTATAAAGAAAAAATCGACTTTTGTATTTCTTATTCATTATATCTTTTTATATATCCTTGATTTTTTTAACTATAAATTCATACTACGTGTTTAAAATTTTTAAATTTAATTTGCAAGTTTATGTACTTCAAATTTGTTATTGTTCAGATTTTCATTTTATCCTTTTATTTGGATTGTATGTTCCTCTAGAAAGTTTTTCCAATTATTTTAATCGTTTTTACATTTTACTACTACGTAGTTTTTAATTGTGTTACGTATAAAAATGGTGGAGTGTAGGTTTAGTGGCCACAGGCACTCCCTGGCAGTGTAGATTAAGCATTTCCGCTGGCAGGAGGCCTTTATACTACTCCGGATGTGTTAGCTATTTGTGAAAAGCAAAATATAGTTAGTCTAATTTTGAAAGAAATTTTGAAATGTGACAAAAGTGATATAACTTTCACTTTTCAGCCTATTTGTGATAATTTCCCATTACTTTACGCATCAGCAAACCCAAGAAAAAGGAAAAAGAGAGAGCCCAAGAACAAAAAAAGAAGGTAGCGACGCAGCAGGGTTTTAGTAGAGGGATGCTGACGGCAAGAGCCAATTGCCGAAGAAGGTGAATAAGCCGGACTGGACAAGCTGGAAGAGCTGAAGCCGGACTGGAAGGAGAACGCAGCAGGGAACGCGGCAGGCTTCTAATCTCGGAGTTGCTAGAGTTAAGAGTGCAGCAGTTCTTTGGTTTCTTGGTCGTGAAAACCGCCAATCCCAGAAATTCTTCCTCCGGAAAAGTCCCGGTTTGACTCAATCAGTGTTCAAACTTCCTTACATTATTTCCTTTACAAACTTGCTTTCGTTTCTTTGCTTGAGAACAGGAAGTAATTGTTTAATGTTGATTGTAAAGATGGTCAACACCAACTCTCTGTTTCCTTCAGTTTTAATAGTTTTATACATTATTATGAGTAGCTAAATTCTTTAAGTCCGGATTATGATGAAGTTGCTATGATTTAGTATGAATTGTGATTTTAGTTATGTTAATTGATTGAGTTTTATCCATTGATCTTATTCACTTAATTGGTTATGTTAATTTCTGGCCAACTTTAATATGATTAATTAAGTTGTTTGAGTGGATTATTAGAGTACATGCCATGCCTATTAATTCGAGCTCTTTTGGATAAAAGAATAGATAATTTGATTGTCTTGTTAAGTTATCTATTTGGTTCTTAAATCGGGTTTCTGTAGTTCTTTTGTGATTAATGGATTTTAACTATTGAATTAATAATTTCCTATTAATTAATAGTTAAAGTACGTGACTTATTCTGGACGCCATACGAAATAGTCATATTTTTGCCTAGAACGAACCCTCAATTCTAATTGACTAACTAAATCACAAAACTAAAAATTAGTGATTGAATCATAATCCTGGACTATCTTTTCTCTTGCTAAATTCTCAATCAATTTTCCGTTAGTTGCTTAATCACTTTATTTGTATCCAATTAAATTCTTTGCATTCATTTTAATTCAAGCTTTACTTTTTTACTGTAAAATCAAACAAATTCAAAACTCATTTTATTTAGTTAGATTACTTTCACTTTTATTTTTATTAATTAATAGTTTTCCAATTACTTAGTTGCATTTTCCCCGTGGATTCGACCCTTACTAGAGCACTGTACTACCACGACTCGTGCACTTGCGAGGACTATTATTAAATTGTCTATCACCGGTGGCCGGGCTTGAGACCGGTCCGGGTAGGCCCAACCGGGGGGTTACATAGGGCAGGCTCGGTTCATCCAAAATAGGAACCGGTCGGGCCGGGCCTGGTTCGGCCCTTTTTTTTCATTTGTTTTTGTTTTTCCTGGGTTGGGCTGGGTGTTTTGGGGGGTGAGGGGGGGTCGGGGGTTAATTAGAAAAGCAAAAAAAAAAAAAACAGGACCGGCCCGGACCCGGTGGATAACCGGGCCGGTTTCGGGCCTTACCCAAAACCTTCCAGGCCCGGCCGGGCCTAGGCCCGAACCGGAACCGAACCGGGCCCGGTCCACCACTACTTCCAACCCTCTCCTCGTATAAAACCGGTAGGGGTGGGGGGGCTTTAGACTTTTTTGATTTCTTGTCACATTGTAAATGTTACTTTTCTGGGTGCTAATATATATTTACATTTCATTCAAGAAAAAGGAAGAAACCCCCTACTCTCGAGAATCTACAGAACTGCGCTGCCCTCGACATTTTCCTCCTCGAGCTCTTTTACGAACTCCTCGACAACCTTTTCAGGGTCCCTTGGTGAGGCCTCCGGTTCGGGTGTCTTCTCTTCCATCCACTTTTCGGGCACGTCCCAATCTGACAAGGGGGTGTCCTCATTATGTATTGATAATCAGCCTCAGATGACATTTTCGGCACGTTCAAGAGGTTAATGGTTGGAATCTAAGGAGAAGTGGAGAACCTGAAGATTTTCCCTAACACTAAATTAAAGCTACCGAAGGCAAAGTTTGAGAAAAGAACAAAGGACGAGCGAAGAACTCACCTTAGAAAACTTGCTAAAACTTGTTAGATCCTCAGTTATCACTTATCTATCTAAAAATGAGCAGAGCTTTGCATCAAGAACAAGAAATTGTAAGGGTGAATTAAAGTCAACCGGGGTATTTATAAGCAACTCAACCATGGTGACCTCGGGATTACCTCATCTGATCGGCAAAGCCATCATTACACGCCAATGGCCAACCAACCAGAATACCCCCTCTAAACCTCACAATATGACACGTGTCCTAAACAATCAATAACACCCCTGGATGCTGCCCCTGGATACTCCGAACTCTCTCTCGACTATCCCTGACTCAAAAAAAAAAAAACAATCCCCCTGTCCTTGCCTCAACACGCATGCTCCCCTAATATAAATAGTCCTCTTTGGGCATATTTAAAGATTCGAACTTTCATTAATGCAATTCGCCTATCTCTCTCTAAATTGTTAGTTCTGTCTTGTATTTACAAAACGCTAGTAATATTCTGACGTAACTAACTAACAATCAATCTAAAGAGAAAAATGAGAATAAATCTGAAACTTTATCTTTGAAAATTGTTTATTATGTGAAACATAAACGAGCATGATAAAAACTCGGTAGCATTTTTATAAATAAATTTATCTTTTTATGTCATCTGAACAATGTTTTATCTTGATCATAATTGCACAATGACATGAATCATACTATGCACTGTTTCAAATCGTTCTGATTTACCACAGGAAGAAGTGTTTTTACCGGAATGTAACCTTGTGGGTGCAGTTCCAATGAGAATACTGTTTATCGTGAGAACATAAAAACAATCATTTTTACACAATGAAACACATCTATTACAATTTTGTAAGTTTAATTAAATCATGCCTATATCAGATAAATGCGGTGGCAACATGAGTTTTATTGTATCACATTGGGGTAAAAGTATTTAATTTCACGTTCTCACGAAAATTTTGTTCTGATTTGATTCAGAATCTATGTGTGTGTTTTATAAGCCGCAATTGGAAGCTCCATTGTCAAGCTTTTCAGTGCAATTGAAAACGCTATTCTAAATGTCAGCATTGTCATCTGGAGAAGCTAAATCATCCATAGCAGCTGACTACTGTAGTGCAAGACATTGTATTTGGAACGCCTTCTCGGGATTCTTTCCATCAATTTGGGAGTGGTGGGGGAAATCATAGGGCAACTGTTCAGCTGAGAACCAAACTTCACTGAGAACTCTAACTACTTCTCCATGGACGACAGCATTGCCTTCTGGTGTGAGGTGTAAACCATCACTGCAAATCAGAGAAGAAAATATGGTGTATACTGAATAGGGATTAAATTAGGAGATGAAAATTTCGGGAAATAAACACCAAGAAATCTAAATAAATCTAAATAGTAAAAAAGATCTAAGTATTTTTTATCTTACAGTTTCCAAGGTTGAATCAAACATATGAAAGTTTTCTTAGCATTGGTGCTCCTTTCTCAAGCATTTCTTGGTACCCAAACACACCCTTAATAGCATCGATAAAGAAGTCCGCGCATACTTGATTAAACCTCGCCTGGCAACTTAGTTATTTATGACTAATAATATTCTCTTTTACTTGGACAGGTTTCTGTCTTATACCAAATCAAGACCTGGCAAGTTGTAAAGTACACATAGAACAACTATCTACGGGACCAGACCAGTTTAGACCAAACGGGACCAAAACACAAAATTTGAATCCAATTAAAACATATTATTTACATTTAAATCCCCTAATCCCGACTGATGTGTTCGGGTGTCATACTTGTCACAACGGTAAGGCGAGTCGCGGTGCCAGCCGACCGCCATATCGCCTAGGCGACAATTATGCAGGGGCATAGTTAGGGGAGGGCCAACCTTGGCCCTGGCACAACCCAAATTTAAAAAATGTCTATATTTTTAGTGTAAAAAAATCCGTGTAAAAAAAGTTTCAAAAATATTCTTTGTGTCGGCCAATCTGGCCTAGAGTCTGGCCCAGTGCCCTAGCTTCACATTGTATAATGAACAAGATAAATAAGAAAAGAGCATAAGATCAATGATATCGATTCCACAAAGAAAATAAAAATAAAAAGAATAAAAATGACAGAGTAACATAAAATGAACAAGATAAAGATAAATACTACCTCCGTCCCAGGGAGAAGTTCCCAATTTCCTTTTTTGGCAGTCCCAACAAAAAGTTCCCATTTCCTTAAATGGAAAGTTATCCTACATAAAAACAGTGCCAAACAGTGCAAAACAGTGCCAAACAGTGCAAAACAGTGCCAAACAATGTCGAAACAGTGCCAAACAATGTCGAAACAGTGCTAAACAGTAAAATTTACCCCTCCGTAACTTTATTTCCTTAATATGTGTGAAAGTCAACCCGAGAACTTCTCCCTGGGACGGAGGGAGTATAAGATAAAAATGGCATAAGAACATAATAATAAAATAAGATAAAAGAGCATAAGAAAGTTAAAGTTCAATCTGTTGGAGTTTCCTTACTCGGTTCTTATATAAAAAACTACGCTTAAGAAAACCTAAAACTTCAATCTGTTGGAGTTGCGACCTGCGCATACAAAAATCCTGGAGCTGCGACCTGCGACTGCTAAGAACTGCGCATACCACAATCCTGGAGTTACGACATGCGACTGCTAAGACCTGCGACTGCTACAGATAAGTTCTTTCCCTCTTCTTCTTCCCTATTGTTTAAAAAAATTAAATTGAGATTATCCTTCTTATTCTCCCTCATGAATCATGATGTTTGGAGCTTCGTATATTCCCCTGACTCCCCTCCCCCCGTCTGCCTGTCTGGTTTCTTATTCTGCCCAGTCCCCCCTATTGTCTTTTGTTAAATATAAACTAAAATGATATTAAAGATGGAGAGAAAGATTTTCTGTGTATTTCATTGAAGGGTAAGGCCCTATAAATATAGATTACAAAGATAGAATATTCCTATAAAAGATGCTATACAATAATACTATATATGGTATATTCCTAATATATTCTAAAGCATATTCTAAAGTATATTCTAATATACTTTCACACTCCCCCTCAAGTTGGAGCATAGATATTTATCATGCCCAACTTGTTACATAAATAACCAACTCGAATTCCATTTAGTGCTTTAGTGAACAAATCTCCAAGTTGTTCCCCAGTCTTCACATATCCTGTAGAGATCAATCCTTTTTGTATCTTCTCTCGAATAAAATGACAATCGACCTCAATATGCTTTGTTCTCTCATGAAATACAGGATTGTTTGCTATGTGTATAGCAGCTTGGTTATCACACCACAATTTAGCTGGCATTGATGTCTTCAGTCCGAGCTCGGTCAATAAATGGCTTATCCATATGATCTCACATGCAGATTGTGCCATAGCTCGATATTCTGATTCGGCACTCGAACGAGAAACCACATTCTGCTTCTTACTCTTCCAAGACACAAGATTACCACCAACAAAGACACAATAACCAGATGTAGATCTTCGATCATCTTTAGAACCGGCCCAATCAGCATCTGCAAAACATTCTATCCTCATGTGATCATGGTTTTGATAAACAATACCTCGTCCTGGTGCACCCTTTAAGTAACATAATATGTGTTCTACTGCAGCCCAATGATCAATGGTTGGAGATGACATGTATTGACTCACTACACTCACAGAATATGCAATATTTGGACGAGTGACTGCGAGATAATTAAGCTTTCCAACCAGTCATCTATATCTTTCTGGGTCTTCAAACGGTGTGCCTTCTTGAGTGAGTTGCACGTTGGGAACCATGGGTGTTGTACTTGGTTTTGCCCCTAATTTCCCTGGCTCAGCTAGCAAGTCAAGTACATATTTACGTTGAGATAGAAATATGCCTTTCTTACTTCATGTTACCTCAATTCTCAGAAAGTATTTGATAGGGATCTACCTTTTAGATTAATAATAGATAATAATTCTAATATGAATACTTGAAGAATAGATACTGTTTAGTGGGTCTGGTAGTTTGGGCCTATTATTATAAAGAATACTAAGAGGGCTTATACTATAAATAGAAAAGGGGAGGAAGGCATAAGGTAGGCTTTTGGACATTTGTCTAGGACTGGGAAGATCTGAGAAGTCTGTTTCTCTGATCTTTGGGGCCTTCGGCCATTATTACTATTACTGTTCATCATCTCCTTCAATAAAGATTTCTCTTGTTTATTGATATTAGCTTCTGTAATCTCTGAATAGTTAGAGGTCTCTAACATTGGTATCAGAGAAAAACGATCTTGCTACCTGTAGTCGAGTACATGGCAGGAACGATGGAAACTTGGGAGCAAAAGATGGAGAAGTTGCGCGAAGAGATACGCAAATTAAGCATGCGAAGAAACAATCGGCGTTCTGATAAACCATCGCAGTCGTGAAGGTCCCAGAAGGAGCCGATAATCATTTCGCACTCGCTAAAGGATCCGCGCGGAAAATTGGGGAAACTCGCGGAAACGATGGAGCGCGGAAAAATAGAGAAGGAGAAGAGCTTAAAATCGGAGAAAGAAAAACGCCCAAAACTGGAGAAAGAGAAACGCTCAAACCTGAAGAAAGAGAAGAGTTCTAAACCTGGGAAAGAGAAACGCTACAGCCTGGATAAGGAGAAGCGTGAGAAGAGCAAACAACATAACCGGCGAGGACGATCGAGGAAGGTACGTCGCTGCGTGAATTCGAAAAGCAAAGCTCCATCTCAGTTACAAGAATTCCCTAGTTCGCAGTCGCGAACTGTTTCTCTCAGTTTGCCCTTGCCAACCGAGCATCTTTTATCATTGTCGCAAGTAGATTCTTACCCTGCGCCAGACTTGTCTCTTGATTCGCAGATGACATTGCAAGCCATAAATCCCAGTGTGCGAGTGTCAACATGCCCACATGAATCATCAGTTTCAGAATCTATAACCATAGTCGCATCAGGAAAAGGATTAACAGGGACTATAATTTCGGAAATTCATACTGAATTGAAGCAAGTGGCACCAATAGTTTCAGAAAATAGCGAAGCTGACATTCTGCAGGTATGTGATAGTGATGTTTGTGTGGTCAAGTCCACATTGACTTTTGGGTTTGTACAGGAGAGGAACTGGCTTAATGTTTTAAAATCTGTAATGATGGACTGTGATATATTACACATTGCTTTGGAAGGGCTGAAGTCATTGAACAAGTTTGATAGTTTAAGATGTGAGGGTTTTACTTTTATAAAGTATATTCTAAATGTGTTGGGGGTAAGAGTGACTCCAAATTGGAAAGGGAAGGAGGATTATACTACTGATGATAAGGTTGACCAGTTTCTGTTGCCTAAAAATGAAAACAGTCCTGCTATCTTCCAAGAGGCATGGATTATTCTTCAAAAACTAAGGAGTACACCAATAGCTTGTAGTCCTGTTCAAAAAGGATGTGCAGATTTGAATTATAGACTTCAGATGGCAATCGCTGTTCATGGGATCAAGATATTCAGGACTTCAGAGAGGGATTGGGAAATAGTTGACAGTCATGACCAAAACATTAAGGGTGAAGGTGTTGTACTATTCCGGGGCAACTTAGCAAGAATAAAGGGGATGACAGTGGATAAAATCAGTGTGGCCCTTGATCCTTGTGAACAAGTATTGTTGTATTTCATATACTTGATAATAAAGTGCTATACAAGAGGCTATATTTATAGCTATATTTAGAGTACTAGGGTTTCCTATACAAGATATACAAATGGGCTAAGCCCAATACTACTAGGGTTTTCACACTCCCCCTCAAGCTGGAGCATATAAATCATATGTACCAAGCTTGTTACAAATATATCCCACTCTAGGACCTCTGAGAGACTTAGTTAAAATATCTGCAAGTTGTTCAGTTGTGTTCACATATTTTGTGATGATATGTCCACTCGTGATCTTCTCTCGGATAAAATGACAATCAACTTCAATATGTTTCGTCCTCTCATGATATACCGGATTTGATGCAATGTGCATTGCAGCTTGATTATCACACATGAGTTGAACCGGTTTTGTGTTTCCATATTTTAACTCTTGGAGGAGATGCTTCAACCATAAGATTTCACATGTAGCAAGGGCCATTGCACGATATTCTGCTTCAGCACTAGATCTGGCAACCACATCCTGTTTTTTACTCTTCCATGAAATTAAGTTTCCACCAATCAAGATACAATATCCCGATGTGGAACGTCTATCCATCGGACATCCGGCCCAGTCTGCATCACAGTATCCCAAAATATCGTGGTGGCCTCGATCTTCAAACAACAATCCTTGCCCTGGAGTTTTCTTGATGTATCTCAAA